TTTTGATAGCTTTTCTGTCTTTGTTTGAAAACGTATTGATATACAATTGAGTATTCTAAAACAAATTATTGAAAAGGTGAAGAGGAAAGGGATTAATGAAATTCTTTAAACTTTTGCTCATAAGAAAGAATAACTAATCTTTACTAACAGATAAATTTTTACAGCTTTTCAGTCTTTGTTTAAAATTGATATAAAATTGATATAAAATTGAGTATTCTAAAACAAATTATTGAAAGGGCGAAGAGAAAGGGGTAGAAGGAAATTCATTAAACTTTTGCTCATAAAAAAGAATAAATAATCTTTACCAACAGATAACATTTGTGAGCTTTACTGTCTTTGTTTGAAAAGTTATTGATATACAATTGATTATTCTAAAACAAATTATTGAAATGGTGATGAGAAATTCTTTAAACTTTTGCTCATAAAAAAGATTAACTAATATTTACTAACCAATAACTTTTTATAGCTTTTCTGTCTTTGTTTGAAAAGTTATTGCTATACAATTGAGTATTCTAAAACAAATTATTGAAAGGGTGAAGAGGAAGGGGTTTAAAGAAATTCATTTAACTTTTGCTCATAAAAAAGAATAACTAATGTTGCCAACAGATGACTTTTTATAACCTTTCCGTCTTTGTTTGAATAATTATTGATATACAATTGAGTATTCTAAAAAAATTATTGACATGGTTAAGAGGAGGGTGTTTATAGAAATCCATTTAACTTTTGCTCGTAAAAAAGAATAACTAACGTTGCCATCAGATAACTTTTTATAACCTTTCTGTCTTTGTTTGAATAGTTATTGATATACTATTGAGTATTTAAAACAAATAATGGAAATGGTGAAGAGGAAGGGGTTTAAAGAAATGCATTTAACTTTTGCTTACAAAAATACAATAACTAATCTTTACTATCATATAACTTTTCATATTTTTTCTGTCTTTGTTTGAAAAGTTATTGATATACAATTGAGTATTTTAAAACAAATTATTGAAAGGGAGAGGAGGAAGGGGTTTAAAGAAATTCATTTAACTTTTGCTCATAAAAGGGAATAACTAATGTTTCCAACAAATAACTTTATATAATCTTTCTGTCTTTGTTTGAATAGTTATTGACATACAATTTAGAATTCTAAAACAAATTATTGACATGGTGAAGACGAAAGAGTTAAACTAAATTCATTAAACTTTTGCTCATAAAAAAGAATAACTGATGTTTACTAACAGATAATATTTTATAGCCTTTCTGTCCCNCTATTCTTGCTTGGAAGGGGTTTAAAGAAATTCATTTAACTTTTGCTCATAAAAGGGAATAACTAATGTTTCCAACAAATAGCTTTATATAACCTTTCTGTCTTTGTTTGAATAGTTATTGACATACAATTTAGAATTCAAAAACAAATTATTGACATTGTGAAGACGAAAGAGTTTAACTAAATTCATTAAACTTTTGCTCATAAAAAAGAATAACTGATGTTTACTAACAGATAATATTTTATAGCCTTTCTGTCCTTGTTTGAAAAGTTATTGATATACAATTGAGTATTCTAAAACAAATTATTGAAACGGTGAAGAGAAATTCATTAAACTTTTGCTCATGAAAAAGAATAACTAATCTTTACTAACAGATAACTTTTTATAGCTTATCTGTCTTTGTTTGAAAAGTTAATGATATACAATTGAGCATTCTAAAACAAATTATTGAAAGGGTGAAGAGGAAGGGGTTTAAGGAAATTCATTAAACTTTTGTACATAAAAATAGAATAACTAATCTTTTCTAACATATAACTTTATAGCTCTACTGTCGTTGTTTGAAAAGTTGTTGATATACAATTGAGTATTCTGAAACAAATTATTCAAAAGGTGAAGAGGAAGGTGTTTAATAGAATCCATTAAACTTTTGTTCCTAAAAAAGAATAACTAATCTTTACTAACAGATAACTCTTTGTAGCTATTCTGTCTTTCTTTGAAAAGTTATTGATATACAATTCAGTATTCTAAAACAAATTATTGAAATGGTGAAGAGAAATTCATTAAACTTTTGCTCATTAAAAATAATAACTAATCTTTACTAACAGATAACTTTTTATAGGTTATCAGTCTTTGTTTGAAAAGTTAATGATCTACAATTGAGCATTCTAAAACAAATTATTGAAAGGAGGAAGAGGAAGGGGTTTAAAGAAATTCATTAAACTTTTGCTCATAAAAGAGAATAACTAATCTGTACTAACAGATATCTTTTTGTAGCTATTCTGTCTTTGTTTGAAAAATTATTGATATACAATTGAGTATTCTAAAACAAATTATTGACATGGTTAAGAGGAAGGGGTTTATAGAAATTCATTTAACTTTTGTTCGTAAAAAAGAACAACTAATGTTGCCATCAGATAACTTTATAGCTCTACTGTCTTTGTTTGAAAAGTTGTTGATATACAATTGAGTGTTCTGAAACAAATTATTCAAAAGGTGCAGAGGAAGGGGTTCAATAGAATTCATTAAACTTTTGCTTCTAAAAAAGAATAACTAATCTTTTCTAACAGATAACTTTTTGTAGCTATTCTGTCTTTGTTTGAAAAGTTATTGATATAAAATTGTGTATTCTAAGACAAATTATTGAAATAGTGACGAGGAAAGGATTTGAAGAAATTCATTAAACTTTTGCTCATAAAAAAGAATAACTAATGTTTACCAACGGATAACTTTTGATAGCCTTTCTATCTTTGTTTGAAAAGTATTTGATGAACAATTGAGTATTCTAAAACAAATTACTGACATGGTGAAGAAGAAAGGGTTTAACTAAATTCATTAAACTTTTGCTCATAAAAAAGAATAACTGATGTTTACTAACAGATAATATTTTATAGCCTTTCTGTCCTTGTTTGAAAAGTTATTGATATACAATTGAGTATTCTAAACCAAATTATTGAAATGGTGAAGAGAAATTCATTAAACTTTTGCTCATGAAAAATAATAATTAATCTTTACTAACAGATAACTTTTTATAGGTTATCTGTCTTTGTTTGAAAAGTTAATGATAGACAATTAAGCATTCTAAAACAAATTATTGAAAGGATGAAGAGGAAGGGGTTTAAAGAAATTCATTAAACTTTTGCTCATAAAAAAGAATAACTAATCTTTACTAACAGATAACTTTTTATAGCTTATCTGTGTTTGTTTGAATAGTTATTGATATACAATTGAGTATTCTAAACCAAATTATTGAAAGGGTGAAGAGGAAGGGGTTTAAAGAAATTCATTAAACTTTTGTTCATAAAAATAGAATAACTAATCTTTACTAACAGATAACTTTATAGCTCTACTGTCTTTGTTTGAAAAGTTGTTGATATACAATTGAGTGTTCTGAAACAAATTATTCAAAAGGTGAGGAGGAAGTGGTTCAATAGAATTCATTAAGCTTTTGCTCCTATAAAAGAATAGCTAATCTTTACTAACAGATAACTTTTTGTAGCTATTCTGTCTTTGTTTGAATAGTTATTAATATACTATTGAGTATTCTAAAACAAATTATGGAAATGGTGAAGAGGAAGAGGTTTAAGGAAATGCATTAAACTTTTTCTTACGGAAATAGAATAACTATTCTTTACTATCATATAACTTTTCATAGCTTTTCTGTCTTTGTTTTAAAAGTTATTGATATACAATTGAGTATTCTAAAACAAATTATTGAAAGGGTGAAGAGGAAGGAGTTTAAAAAAATTCATTTAACTTTTGCTCATAAAGAGGAATAACTAATGTTGCCAACAAATAACTTATATAACCTTTCTGCCTTTGTTTGAATAGTTATTGACATACAATTTAGAATTCTAAAACAAATTATTGACATGGTGAAGAAGAAGGGGTTTAACTAAATTCATTAAACTTTTGCTCATAAAAAAGAATAACTGATGTTTACTAACATATAATATTTTATAGCCTTTCTGTCCTTGTTTGAAAAGTTATTGATATATAATTGAGTATTCTAAAACAAATTATAGAAATGGTGAAGAGAAATTCAATAAACTTTTGCTCATGAAAAATAATAACTAATCTTTACTAACAGATAACTTTTTATAGGTTATCTGTCTTTGTTTGAGAAGTTTTTGATATTCAATTGAGTATTCTAAAACAAATTATTGAAATGGTGAGGAGGAAGGGGTTTAAAGAAATTCATGAAACTTTTGCTCATAAAATTTAATAACTAATGTTTACTAACAGATAACTTTTTATAGCCTTTCTGTCTTTGTTTAAAAAGTTATTGATATACATTTGTGTATTCTAAAACAAATTATTGTAATGGTGAAGAGGAAGGTGGGAGACTAATGTTGTACAGTGGCTGTTTGTATACACAAATAAAAATAAATAAATAAAAAATAAATAAATAAAAGTAAATAAAATTATTTTATTGTCCTATTTTTTTCTATATACTTATCTACATCACTATAGAAAGCAGTTTTTTGACAAAATGGCTATTAGGGCCCTTAAGTGGCTTCCGCCCAGGGCCCCACAAATTCACAATCCGCCCATGAGTATAACACTTGATAATGTTTTGTTCTATTCTTGCTTTCCATGCAGATTTCTTTTACGGCTAAGATTAATAAAATAAGTAATAGTTACTGGTTTATTACGAGATAAAGATGTATCAATTTCTATTTTAAATATGTCTAATGTTTATGAATTTAAAACCTGTTTTGTGTTGTTTAAGCATTTCAATGACTGATTTTCAATTCAACGAATTTTTCATATACCGAACTTATTATCGTTATAAAGCGACTTCGTTAAATAGAGGTCCGACTGTATTTATATTACATTATGTTCCACAGTGACTAGCATTATTGTTTATTTTCAGAATCCTTGCTAAGAAATAAAACTACCAATTTCTACTTGAGTTGGGAAACAATTATTCGTTTGGTCAGAAAGAGTTACGGAAAAAACCAGTTCAAGAAAAAAAAACTTCGCGATTTTGCGACCTTTTATGTGAATTTTAAAAATAATTTTTTTTTCTAGCATTACCTGCCCTTCCTGTCATCTGGAATGGTGCTTCAACTGTCATGCACCATGGCATGATGTATTAACGTGCAAGCAGTTCCAAAAAGGTGATAGACTTCTCAGATCATGGGCCAAGGAACGAAATCATGGCCAATTAAACGCTCAAAAATGTCCTAAATGCAAGGTAAGTTGTCTGAAATAATGATTCAATTTCAAGTTAAAAATTTCTTATTTTGTATTTTTTTTTTAAATATTTACCAAAAAAACTTTATTCTTTGAAAATTGAAAAAAAAGAGAAAGAAGGAAAGAAAAATTAAACAACTCAAACGATTATAAAATTTGGAGAAACGTCTAAAGTGTGTGATTTTCATTTTCAGAAAGAATTTCATAAGTTTCTTATTTTCAAAGGTGATTTAAAATGCGACTGCTATAAAGTTAGAGAACTTTAAATCAATGTTGAAATCCCATAATACGAAATAGTTTTTCTTAATAAATTAATAATAGCTTTTCTTCATAAATAATTTTCTTGAGTCCATAATACTCTGCACATGTTCATGGTATTAAAATAAAAGCAGAACTTATGAATTATTACCAAATTTATTTTGGGTGAATCAGTATTTTCTGCAAGCATTTTCGAAGTTCAACATATATTTCTTAAATTACTTTTTCCGGAATAAATTCAAAGATTTCCTTGCCTGACAAAATTTATGTAAGGATAAACCGGAGGCTTTTGTAAAATGATTAGTAAATGATTATTTTGCAAATAAGTATTTACAAATGATGTTCCAACAAATAAAAAGTCAGATACTATCCATGGATGCCGCTGATTTATAAAGTATTGAAAAAGAAACGATTTTTCCAACACTTTAAAATCATTTGATAACTGGATCATGTTTTAAATTATTCTTATATAATGGTGGACATTTTGAAACGCATTTATTTACCAAGACATTTTGCTACCACTGGAAAGAAGGTGGAACATTGATTATCTAAGAAAACTGTGGAGATGCTTTTTTGACCAGACAATAATTGTGCTGCTAAATTTACTTTTAAGTCACCAAAGTCAAAATTCTTGATGATCCCATCAAAACATTTTGATGGTTTCATTGCGATTTATGATGGTCACCTTCATCCAACATTTTCCATTATGCGTTCATGGTTTTTGATATGCCAACAAACTTCCATTATTGCATGATGGAAAATGTTACTTTAATACTATGATGGTTAACCATCAAAAGAAGTTTGATTCTCATGGACCAACAATCACTGATGATCCGTGAGGGTTCCAACTATATATTTCCATGATGGTTTAATGGGAATTCTTGTTGGTTCTCAGGAATATACCATCAAAACAATTTGTTTTGTTTTTATGTTGGACCATGATAAATCAGTCCGAATTCCTACACTGGGATGGTGGTTGTTCATGATCGTTCCAACGTTTGATTCCTAAGAAACTATGATGGAAATTTCTGATGGTTCAACATGAACAAACTATCAAAACAAATTGCTATTCTTATGTAGGACCATCATAGATCTGTTCAAATTCCTACATTGGGGTGATGGTTTCTTATGTTGGTTACCTCAAAAATATAATGGCTCATGATGGAATTATTGATGGTTACCATCAAGATTAAGTTGTTCCATCAATGGAAAATCATCAAGTATTTTGACTTGGGCATACAAAACAGCATAAAAATCCTATATTTTTTTTTATTGATCCTCTGTTTTTCGTACTAAGAGCAGGTCTAAGTCCAGACTCACCTCTACATGCATAGTGATGTTTGAGAGACTTATCAGTAAAGAACTTAATGTTTCTTGTTTCTCTGAGTGTCAGGAAAGAACTTTCCTGATACTTAATGCTGTATGAAAGGTTTTCAGAGGCTCCTCAGTTCAATTCTATAAATGCTGTATTTGTCCATAAAGTGAAAGGAGTGAATCAGAATAATATAAAACTAGATATATATTTTCCCAAGACTTTTGAGTTTCAAAATATGTGTCATCCTATAAGAATCCGTTGTGCGAATTTTATAGCAGGAGAGGTCATTACTATATTGCGAGTATGGCTTTTCTACATCAGTAGAGGGGTCATTCCTGTATTTGCGAGTATGGTTTTTCTTCATCAGTAGAGGGTCATTCCTATATGGCGAGTATGGTTTTTCTGCATCAGTCAAGGAGGGATCGTAGGGCGCTGGGCCCATATCCAAGAGGTCGTGGGTTCGATCCTCGCCGGCCGAAGACTCCCCGTGTAGTAAATGGTGACTGATGCACGTTAAATCTGTCGAGTCTCAAAGTCCTCCATGTTCCCACAACAAATCAATACCTCTGGGGGTACTGATCCAGGAGTTTCCTTGTCTTCTGGATTGGTTCAAAATTGCAAGGCTACGGAGTTGAACGTAAGTAGTCGTAAACCCATGAAATTGGGTCGGCTGTTCAACGACGGTTATAAAATAAAATATATTGTGAGTATGGTTTTTCTACATCACTTATGAATTGTGATGCTAATGAAATTTTGCATCTTCGTTTTTGACATATTTTATTATGTTTTCACTTCATTTGGGTCAGTATGTCGACAATAATCTGTTCTCCGTGAATTTAGGACATGAGTATAAAAACTGAAACATTTTTTTTTCTTTCAGTTGTTTCATCAGAATTCTGTCATTAGTGACCAAAATCAAGAAGAATGACAATATGGCATTTTTATACTCGATTCCTTTTAATTACAATCATCTATTTTCTCTTAAATTTAAAATTAAAAATAGCGAATCAAAATGTTTTTTACACCACAACAAATATTTTTGATAAATAATAATGTAAAATTCTCTCCCGTAGTTTCAGCTATGTAATAAAACTATACTATTGACAAGTATTACTAATATTTGACCTATAATAATATTTTCTAAAATTAGTTTTAATGCTATTAACTTTAAAACGTTTTTTCTCCATTAATGTAAACCAAAAAAATTAAAAACATTGTTACCCTGAAGAATAAATTCAGTTCTAATGATCGGATTTTCACAAACTAGGTGGTTCATAGGTATGTTAATTGGTAACAACTATTAATTGACTCTCTGAAGATAAATAAGCATTTTTAACCATCCTAGCTAGAGTCCCAATGATTTAGCTTTTTAGTTAACCTTTTACTTACGGCTGGTACAATAAGTGGACGGCTTCATCGTTAGCATTGGGTTAAGCGGTTGAAAACCCCTTAATGCTCACACGGAGCATTTTGTCAGTGCAAATCGAAACATTTTTGCACGCAAGCATAAAAAATGTTTATCTAAATAAAATTCCGAGTAAAAAAAGTATTTAATTATTATTGTTTTTCATTATATTTAATGGTAAAAAAAATTTAAATTGTAAGATATAAAAGTTTTCGTTTTTTTTTTTTTTTTTTTTTTTTTTTTTTTTTTTGCTCTAACTTTGTATTTTTTCATTTAAAACTTTTTGCCGACAATTATTAAATAAATTACAAAAGCTAATAATTACTTTTATAAAATTATATTTCCGCATTAAATCTTTGGACAAATAAGTTTCATAATTATTTGCAAAAACTTTTTGATTTCCTTAAAGTGTTCCAGACTAAAATCAAAATTCTTGGTGGTCCCATCTAAACATTTTGAAGGTTTATGTTGGTTTTAGTACAATTCGTGATGGTCCATCATCCATTGATGGTCACCATCTTTCAAAATTTTCCATTATGCTCTCATGGTTTTTTATATGATAACAAACTTCCATCATTTCATGATGGAAAATTAACCGCTACTACATTAATACTATGATGGTTAGCAATCAGGAGAAGTTTGATTTTCATAGACCATCAATCCATGATGTTTCCAACTAAACATTTCCATGATGGTTTGATGGGAATTTTTGTTGGTTCCCCGGAATATACCATTAAAACAATTTTTTTTTAATGTTGGACCATCATAAATCAGTCCGAATTCCTACATTGGGATGATGGCTTTTCATGATCGCTCTAACAGTTGATTTTTTAAGATACAATGATGGAAATTTGTGATGGTTCATAATGGTACAACAATGCATTTCCATAATGGTTTAATAATAATTCTTGTTGGTTAAGCAGGAATATACCATCAGAACAATGTGTTTGTTTTTTATGTTTGCCCATCAAAAATCAGTCCAAATTCCTACATTGAGCTGATAGTTACATACATATGTTGGTTACTATCAAAAAATATAAGGGTTCATGATGGAATTATTGATGATTAGTATCAAGATTATGTTGGTCCATCAATGGAAAACCATCAAAAATTTTGACGAAATAATGCAAAAGTGAAATTGACGAAAAGATCCAAACTTGCAACCGCCCTCTTCACTCAATTCAATATTCGTCAGATTAATATTTATTTCGTTCTCAGTTCATTTTCAAAATTGACAAAAAACATTGCTAACTGAAGAAAATCAGCTTAATAAAAAAAATCTTCGTTGCAATATGAAGAATTTTTAACAACAGCACTTTTTATTTTTCACTCTTCTTTTTTTTTATTATAAATTATGAATTATTTGTGAAAATGTAAATTTTTAGATAAAAATTGTTATCAAAAAATTTAAATGTCATAAATTTGTTTTGCAAAATTAAATTATCTAATATTATGAGTTTGGTATACTGTACATTATATAATGTTTCTCGTAATTTTATTTATAAAATTACGGGACGTAAAGCTTAAATTTGCTCTTTATTATTAGATAATTAAATTAAGTAAAAATAAATTTTTAAAGGAGCAAGATATCTCTCTAATATCCAGTAAAAATATCTCACAAATATCCAAAAAATATATGCAATTGATATCTAGTAGTACTCTTTATATTAGTAATACCAATAAATTACCGTAAATTATATCATTAAATTTAGTAAAATCAAGTTTTGAAGGGTTCTTTATGTGAAGGTAAACTGAATTCATAGTTTAAATTTTGAAATACACTAAAAAAACTCACACAAAAAGACAAAATGCGAGCAAAAATAAAAAAAAGAATATAGTACGTTTAAATAATTAAATATAGCCATGAAAATATAATAATTTTCGTAATTTTATATTAAAAATGAAAAGCAAATTATATTTCCGAAGTAATATTACAAAATAACGCGAACTAATTGCAAAATAACGCGAAAACATGAAAAAAAAACATAATTTTTGTTTTTCGGTATATTTAGTCCACCTTTGA